CACGACGACGACGTCGTCGACGACCACGACAAAAACCACCACCACCACCACCACCACAACATTCATTCGCACGCAGCGGGAGACGATATCCTGGGGTGAAAAGCTTCCTCGCTTTGCGAGTGTTCGACCTGTGTTGCTCTACTTGATCTTGTGTGTGTAACTCACTGCGCTCACCAGCGCTGCAGGCCGTGCCGCAGCCCTGCGCCCGCATTCGTCTCGCCTCTGAAGGCAGCAGACTACGCTGCTGATGTGCAGTGTGGCACTGCGCAGGGACGACAGATGATTGGCATGGGTTATCTATGCTGCGAGCGACTGAAGGCATTTTTCCCGAGCCAGCCGACTATCTGTTGCGCCCCTGTTTCTGGGCTAAACTTCTGAAGAAGAGTCACTTCTGATCACCACCTCCACATTGAAGAGGAGTCTGTGTGGCAGAAACACTCTTAGGATCGGCATCCCTTGTGCCTGATTGCTCAACCCAAGGTTGGGTCCCGCGGCCTTTGGCGGAGAATCTCCTGTCGCCTTTGGTGCTGTGTGATGATCTCAACCGCCCCTGATCCACCATGAGAGATGATAGTCGGAGCTGCTTTAGCAGGTGCAGTCCTCTTCGGGGGAGGAGCTCCGCCCTCTCCTTTGGCTGTTGATGGTCCTCCTAGCACCGTCTCAGAAATTGTCGAAGGCAGATTGACAGGCATCGGGGGTGGCGGTCCTGCTGGAGGTTCCGTCGAGAACCTTGGTGCTCCAAACGTAAGCGGCCTCCCTGACGGTGGAGCCTTAGCTCCCGAGGTCTCACCCTCCGAATCTTCAATCTCGTCACTAGAAGGCATGGACCTTCGTGCTCTTCCCGTTCTTCTCACCGGCAGTGGAGTCCTAGAGGCGTCTCGGCCTGATGATTTCTTCGGAGTTTCCGCCATGCTAGGTGGACTAAGCTCGAACTCTGATCCTCAAACATCCCACGAGTGACCCAGAATGAGAAAGCATGAAAAGTCGCACCTATACATGTCATGGCATTAAGATCAGTTTTGCTCTGCAATTTGCAAAATTTAATTGTGGGGAGATTCTCCACCATGCTGTCCGAAACCTCAAGGGAGATTCTCCTCTCGAAAAGGACGGAAAAGATACAAGGGATTGACTCCTCTGAAATTGCGTGGGCAAGCATTCCAAATCAAGAAATGAAAAAGATAGGAGATAAGAGTGAACACAGACCATACCTAGTGCCAGAACTTCAAGCTACCCAAGCTCACACTGCGGGGGAGATACTCCTCCCTTCAGTGTTGACTGGGAGTAACTCCTCAGCCGCTCCTGGAGTTCAAAATTCATCGTTCAGAGTGTTGCTCCCCAGCGATCATACTTTACCTGGTTCCGGAGACTTTGAAAATAAGAGATGGCTCTGGGTACATCGTCTGCTGTGAGGATGACGTTGTTCCTGCTTCGCAGGAAACGCACTCCGAGTGAGGCAGCTTTTCTTGTGTTGACAGCAACCACCATCGTCGCATTGGCCCTAAGGCCAGATACACCTTCCTCGTTGCTGCTTGCTGAAGTCGTAAAATGTATGTGTTTACGACCCTCACGACCTTTGCTACCACCCTTGCCTTTCAGTCTGCACTGCGGCAATAGACCAGTAGATCGAATGGCGTCGTATAAAGTCCAATGTGTCCCATGGATGATTTCTTCGGGGAGTTGCTCCTCCGTCATCACTTCCAGCACAGCTTCGTCGTCGACGTCAGTTCGTGAGTGCTCCTGGACGGCACGCACATACCGACACCCATCTGCTGCGCTGAGCCCCATCTCAAAGCGACTCCATTTCATTGGAGCGAACTACTTCCATAAGATCTCCGGCCGTGGTCTGCTGCTCCCGGATCCTTGGCCACTCTCCACTCGAGCCCACCCTCCAAGAATGATGGAGACGTGCGGTTTGGTGCGGTTTGTGTCCGTGGCGTAGACAGGCCGAGAGTGCCTTGGAAATGGCAGTCGCCAGAGGGCTTGTGGGGTTCGTGGAGTCCTCCCGATACGCCCCCAAGCTGCCCTGTCCCCTTTCCAGGGCTGTATGTGATCACCACTGCCCTGGCTGGCTTGGATGGGCTGGCTGGGTGTGGCGGCTTCTGTGCTCTGTTTTGTTGGGGGAGCGGCTCCGCTCTGTTCCTCCAGGGGAGAAACTCCAGCCTCGATCGCTCGCAAGGGAGTGTCTCCACTTGACTGAGCATCTGATTCATTTCTTCCAGTGTCCGGCTGCCATGCATTCTGGAGTCCTAGGGCAACGAAGGCTTTCTTGGTGCTTTCGAGAGGCACCTCTAGGGCTCCGGACCATTCTCGGATGTATTCCGCAAGCTGTAGATGGTCCTTCGCCACAATCTGCAGCAGTAGAGCATCGATCTTCACGCTGTCAAAGCTCAGAATTAACTGGTTCGTTTGTTTTCCTTTCTTTAGGGAGCCGTCTTGATCGTATCTGACTTCCAGCATTGCCCTCACGAACGCGTGTTTGGGTCCATAACGAGTCAGCGCAGCGTAACCTGCCGCCAGGTGCCTGTTGCTCTCCTTGTGCAGATAGACGCCGGGACGATCATTAAAGTGTCTGGCGCCCTCAATGGCATCGGAGGACGACGGCAAGAGCCTGCCAGTCGCCAAAATGGCATGTAGGCATTCGAGATGCGTCCCGTGGAACGCTTTCTCCCCCTCCGTCTTCAGGGTGTTAGGCGGGGTGTACGGAAAGCGGTACCAGTTCTGCTCTTCCTGCTCTGGTTTCCCCAGTAAAAGTAGGAGGCTTTCGCCATATATTCCTACGCGGGTGGCCAAAAAGGTAGTCAACAGGGATGCTGCAATCTTTTCTGAGGGTGTGGCAACCTGACTCAGGCCGTCGCGTAAGTGTTTGGTCACTGCAACAGAAATTCTGTGAGTGTTGAGGTCCTTTATTGAACCATCGCAGCCGCTCTGGAGCGGTGGATAGGGGGTATACCCCTCAGCGGCCAACAGGTTCACTGCCTCAAGGTGTAGCTGATCCTCTTTGTGCCCCGCAGCTGGCTCGGGTTTCGCTGAGCAACTGCCTGAGGGAGTATCTCCACTCTTTGCTTTGGCTGCTGGGGGAGTGTCTCCGCCCTCTCCCTCCTTTGTCTGTCTCTTCCTGTTCGCCTGAGGAGGGGATGGAGGCAGCTCACTGCCTGTGCCTCTGTGTTGATCCTCCTTGGACCCCCCTTTCCCTTTGTAGCGGGGGTAATCTTCCCCATGGGCACGTGCGGCTCGCCGCCACTGGCGGAGAAAATTACGGTAGGAGACGTAAGGGAGTTGACTCCGCTCCTGTTGCCGGCAGTATTCAGCGTACTCAGCCTGATAAGACTGGTCTTGCGCCGAGTGCGACCTCAAGTTCCTGCTTGCCTTGCTGTTGTATGGCTACACACATGTGAACTTGTTCGAGGCCGACTGGGATAAATCTTGCACTGTGTAGAGGCTGCAGAGCTTGAATGGCTGTGCTCTCTGTCGCTACCGCCGCCGAACTGAGGTCGGAGCAGTGGTCTTGCGTCTGAAGTCAGCGCAGTGGCTCCGGCTAGTCCTCGCGGTTGCTTCATAATCCATGTGTGCTTGATGTAAAAAACTTGCAAGCAGTAAAGACGACACTCATGTTTGCACTCTGTCAGCACGAGTTTGCTCCAAAAAACTCCATGGGGAGATACTCCACCGGAAGGGAGAATCTCCTCTATACATGACAGGTGGCTTGGTCCACAAGCTGATTTCAAAAACTCACTGGGGAGAAGCTCCACCTAGGGGAGAACCTCCACCAGCTCCCAGATACGTAAAGGGGAGATGCTCCTCCTTGACACCTCCACAGGGGAGATGCTCCTCCTTGTTTGCGGTTGCTCAATCTTCCGGTTGAGCTTGGAGTCGATTACTGTGGACCTCCCACTCGGCAGATGCTAGGTTCAAGGTCCTGTCTTGTTGGAAGAAGCGACCTCGGATTGCTTCCGTGGGCTCGAGGTACTGAGTCTTCAGGGGCTCCGACAGCAAGCGACACATATAACTCGCTATATACGTTTCACGCTCGAGGGCGACCAGGTCGTATGTGTGGAGGTGTTGCCCCTGGGCTGCAAAGGCACCGGATTGAAGTCTTGCCGCGGCGAGGTAGACAAGTGATAGCTCTGCCAATGTGCGTCTCCTGCGACGCTTCAATTCATCCCATTCGGAAAACCCGTGCAGGATGCCCAGGCGCTGTACCAGCGTGCGTACCCCATCCGCGGGGAGTAACTCCACCGCGAGACACATTAATTGGTCCTTTGTAATGATCGAAAGTCCCTGGATACGCGTTTCCAAGTCTCTGAGGACCTCCCCGGGGAGTAACTCCGTACCGGAGGAGCGCAAGTGCATGTAAAGCAAGCCCGCGAAAGTAGGCAACAACGCAAGCGTGAGCTGGGTAGGGGAGCAGTCATACACCATGTTGCTGACGCGAACTGCGAAGGAGATTGGATCGCTGAATGGCTGAGGCTACGGATTCAGGCAATCAAGTTTCAACACTGAGCGAAACGATGCTTTCCGATCGTCCTGGTCTCCTCGAAGCGTAGACGATCAGTAGGCCTGGCAGCGTGTGGGGGCTTACTAGAAAAAGGCGGGAGCTAAGCGTGACCTACAAGAGTTTACTTTTTAGACTCGCTAAAGCAGGGCCTTAGGGGAGATACTCCACCTGTTCGGCTAGTGCAGCGCAGCGTTCTGGGGAGTGACTCCACCTTGACGTCAGCTTTGTGCTGGGTCCGCCTGACATCGTCTCGGTTAGTGGCCGTGATGTGCGAAAGAGAGTGACATGATCAGGATCTGTAGAGATTCTGGCAATGATGTCGCCCAATCCCGATACGACTTGCGATGTAATGAGCGGTTCGTCGAGTGTCTCAACCATCGATTGGTCGCCCGATGACCATTCTAAAAATGGCCATTCCCCTTCGGAGTTTAGCGTCCCATCATTGATGAGCTGGGCTTGCATGTCCCTGTCTTTGCTCACTGCGATCAGTCGGTCTTTCAGCTCTCTGAAGAACTTTAATGCCAGAGCTGTCTTGGGAGGGACAGTGGACATACTGGCCTGTAGACGCTTCTTTTCGGCGTATAGCAGGGGAAGGATCGAGTGCTCCTCCGTTCGCATATAGGAAATGAACGTGATGTCGCATGAGAGTGCTAGCAGTTGCTCGTCGTGTCTGAGGACCAGTTTGGCCAAGGCACTCACCAAAGGGTCGGTCTGGCGACCTCCACTGTTCTGGCTTTGGCTGGAGGGCGTTGAACCCTGTGGGTTGCCTTTGCCGCCTCCTCGGCCTCGGCCACGGCCTTGCTTGCCTCCCTTACCTGAAGGCTTTGAAGCTTCTTGGGGAGAATCTCCATCTTTAGGTCTTTTTGGGGGAGAACCTCCACCCGTACTAACCGGTTCACGTGCGGGCGAGCTGGGCGTATCCCGTGCTTCTCTTTGCCTCTCGAGAAATAAAACATAGCAGTTCTCACTGACAGCGGAGTTTCTGAGGCTGCTGATTTCGGGGCTTCTTGAATCAACGTCTCATCTTGGCACACTAATGCTCTATAATGGCCCGACGTGCTTTCCTGTCCGAAATGTATAATGGCTGCTCGAAGACAGTAAGGTTCCCAGCTCACTTCTGTTGTGTGAGCAGTGAACACAGGTATTTGCACTGTCTCGGTGAGATGAATAGGGGAAGTATTCTTCTCCTGTCCCGTAAAGCGTGGGATTGCAATGCACAGCAGTTCAGACCTGTCCAACAATGCGTGCACTGGAGTTTGGCCTGCCCATTGATCGAGCATCCTCTGTAGCGACGTGTCGACCTCAGAGTCTAGATGAATGGGGGAGACCCCTTCTTCGTCTACAATTATGCCCTCTGGTAGGTTACGAAAGACTCTTAGGAGAAATTCTGCTGCATCATGCTGTCCGCTGTCCCCCGTCAAAATGCCATCCTACGGTGAGTCTGGACAGTGTGTTGTGTTCCGGGGTGATATTCGCCAGCTGCCCTACCTTCTCAGCTTCCTGAAATAGCTCCCGCAAGTTTGGGGAGATCCAATGTAGACACTGAAGTGCTGCATTGGCGTAGCAATGATTACGGGTGTTAGCGAACAGCATGAAGCCCGTGAGCCGAAAGGGGGCTTCCTCCAGACCAATGTTGGGCTGGAGGGTTGATTGGCCTGAGCCTGAAGAGACCTCAGCGGGCTTGCGAGGTTTTGGCTCGTAGGCTCTGGGCTGCGTGTCTGGCCCCTGTCTGAGGACCTCCTGTAGCACATGACCCTGCAGGAGTGGGACACATTGCTGGACATGTCTTCCTGGTGCGTCCACTCTAAGATGACAGAAGCGACACCGGTCTCCCTTGTGAAGTATGACCTTGAATGGCTTGAGCCGCTCCTGGACGCCAGCCTCCAGCCTCTTCATGATCTCGGGGTGCTGTTTGTGCAGATGCTGTTTGGCTCCCTTCTGACCTGACAGTGCCTGGCCACACAAGACGCAACTTTCCATAAAAATGGTGTGGTATTCAGGGTTAGTTGCTGCCGCTTCCGGATTAGATGTGACATCTGATCTTAGGCGCTCCTGGATACTCACATGTTGCACTTGGTGTGTGTGTGTGTGGGAAGCTCTTCCTGCCTTCGGTGTAAAAGTTCAACCTTGGGACAGGTTGAAGTCTCACCATGTTTTCGAAGGTAGAAAACCGTGCTAAACGTAGCCATGCAGGCACTACACGTGTGTGTTCCCGGGAGACTATGCTGCATCGGGACAAACTTGGGGCCCTTCATGCTGAGGATTGATTGATGAATCCTCATCTTATGTCTGCGAAGCGCACCTGTGCCCGTTAGTAGAACCCCACATTCATCACAGGTGACTCTTTTGTCCGGGTCTTGCTCTGTGGACTTTTCTTGAGATGTCAAGTCCTCCATGGCTATTTGCAAGCCATTGGCACGAGGCAAGTACAGAGGCAGGAGACTTGGATCTGAGTTCCTTTGTCTTTTAACGAATTGTTCTAGTCGTTTGATGATCTGTTCCTTCGCTGACCTAAGCTTGCGTCTCGGAGTAACTCCTGGTTTGTCTCCTTCGTTTCCTGGGAGTAGCTCCTCAGGACAAAACGAAGCTGATAGACCATATGCGATTGGAGCTTGTTTAGTCCTTGTTGAGTCAGCCCCACTACATGTAGAGCGTACAATGCAGAGGCCCAGGACGTTATAGTCCAAATGGATAGTCTTCTCTTTTCTGTGAGCGCCCTGGAGTTTCTGACTGCGTGGGCTACTTCTGCCATCGCCTTCTTGCTGGGTGCAATCCTGCGGTTCAGGGTCTTCGACTCGTAGTCTTGACATGAGAGGACCATTCCTAAGTAAGGCACTTGGGTCTTGTGTGAGATTAGTCGACCAGAGCGAAGTTTCACATACTTGGCCCCGTCCTCCTTTCTGAAGACCTGGGAACGAGCAGTCTGAGCAGAGCCTCCATGCAGTTGGGATGAGCATTGCTGACTTTGTGGGATTCACTTTAAAGCCTAGAGACTCGAGCTGATCCAAGAGGAGATCGCAGCATTCGAGCGCTTCACGTAGATCCTCAAAGCTATTAAAGTGCTTCTGAAGAAGAGTGTCGTCCGCATACATTGTGATCATTCTGGCCAGCTCTTCTGAGGTAATCTGGTTCGAGAGCTTCTTGAACAGCAATCCTGTTGCAAAGGCGAAGAGAGAGGGGGCTAATTTGCATCCTTGCTTAATTCCTCTTCTCGTTGCTTGCAATCTCGAACGACTGCTCCGATGCGGTCATGCGATATAATGCTTTGACATGAAGTAGACCCACCGCTTCGATGAGACTTGGGTCAGCCTCCGAGGCCTCCAGTGCCTCTCGGAGCTTGACCCTATCTACAGTGTCAAAAGCCTTTGACATGTCCACACTCATCGTGAGACTCCCTCGAAGCTTCAGGCCAGCTTGCCCTCTGCCTGGTGTTTTTGGTGTTGCCCTTGCTCTTTGTCTTGCTTCATCCACGTGAGTGAGGGCCTTACAGATGGCTTCCTCCGTCCCTCTGCCGGGGACGAAGCCGAATTGCGCCACGCCTGTCATTGCTCTCTTAAGTGTTGGCTTGAGGCGTTTCCTGATGATGCCTGCTAAGACCTTGCCCTCAGGAGCTACTACCCCTATCGGTCTTAGGGAGGCCGGCTTGTCGGGCTTTTTGGGAGGCTTTGGGAGCCATGAGATCTGGGATGCTGATATCGATTCCGAGAGCTCTTCATTTGCTATCTCAGAGTTCAGTATGTCCGCAATGCGCTGGTGCGCTTGGGGGCCAAGAGACCTCCAGGCAACTACTGGTGGACTGTCCTTCGGGACTGCCTTCCCGATTTTGATGGAAGCCAGCTGCTCCTTGACTTCAGATGACTTAATATCGAGACTGCTCCGGTGTCCCGACATCGGGAAATCGGTTCCTGTACCAAAGAGGTCCTCTGAGTACTCCCGGAGCTGCTTGACCTCTGCATCCGCTGTAAGGAAGCGTCCATGATCGTCCCTGAGCTGAACTCTCTCTTGCGGTTTCCCCGATTTGTATCGTCTGATGACTGCATAAAGGGAGTGTGTCCCATCCTGCGATGCTTTGTTGTCCGCTTCCCTAAGAAGTTCATCTACTTCTTCCTGATGCTTTCTCTGCTTCTCTCTCTTCGCTTCTCTCGCCTTAGCGCCCTGATTTGCGAGAGATTGCCAACATCTGAGCACCATTCTCTGATGTGTCTTTGGCTTTGATTCTGACATCACCTGCATGATCAACGGCAACGTGCGAAGGGACATCCGGGTCTCCCAAGGGTTCATGTCCCGTGCCTCTCTGGGTGCCTGTCTCTTCGGAAAATTTGACTTGAGAGCCTGATCGATCGTATCCGTGAGAGACCCCCAGGATAGGTCAGTTCGCGACATCCTACTTTCGACTTGTTCCCTAAATGCAGCAATCTCCGGGCCTCCTTGTCTGTAACAGCTCTCCATTGCCTTTTGATCATAGGGTTTGGCTATACAGCGGAGTAACTCCTGCTATGCTGGATTTTCCCTATCAGGGGATAGTGTCGACCGGAAATGACCGGTCTGGCTGGCATTGCTTGCCGGGACCCTTAGACTGCTGACGGCGGAGAAGGACATAGTCTATCTGAGAGACGGAGTTCCCCTGTGCGTGGGTGGCCGGTCTTCTGACCCCCCACGTGTTGGCTGCAACTAAGCCAAGATCTTCTAGCAGCTTCTGAAGCTCTTTCGACCCTTTATGTCCTAATCTGCATGTGTTCGGAACACATGGTCCCACGTGCCGCATATCAGTCTTTAGAGACATATTATAGTCTCCTGTGATAAGGAGAGAATTACTCTGGGGAATGTGTGATATCGTTTTTCGCAGGCTCTTGATCAAGTCGCTCCGGAGTGTTTTGTTTGCTTCCAGAGTTTCTTTCGTTCGCCATACATATTGATAGCAGCAGACAATGTCTAAAGAGATCTTCTCGCCTGGCACTCGGACCTGTAGTACCCTTCCTGGTAGAACTTCATTAAAGCGAATGGCCTGCTGCTTGCAGAGCGAGGAGTGGATCATCACAAGCACTCCTGCCCCTTTTTCGCCTGTGGATCCTGAGCTCACAACATGCCAATCCTCTTTGGTGAACTGCCAGCTTCCTCTCCAGTGTGTCTCCTGAATCGCCACGATTTTGACTGAACTATATGACGGAGTTTTTAGTACGGAGAGCAACTCTTCCCATACTGTTGTAGTTAGTGACCCTGCGTTCCAGCTCAGGTACGAAACCTGCTGCTGTTCAAGAAAGGCAGACGGCTTAACTCTTCTTGCGGGCACCTTCCTTTGTGGAGCTGGAGTACCTCCTAGCTCCTGCAGCTGTCTCCCCTTGTACTGCGCTGAACCTTCTTGTAGAGCTTTCTTGACGGCTTT